GTTTAACAGACGTGGGTCAGAGCCAACCAATAACAAGCAAGGTACAAACTCTGCATTGAAGCTTTGCAGCTTTGATCTGTGACTTGTTTCACGACAGCGAGCTCCATCGGAGCTGACCCCTAAGGCGCCGATAAATCGGAGTTTAAGAGTCGTTCCCTGGCCTGTGGGCCCCCTCCCGTCCGGCCCAACGATAAGATGCTGTTGAGGGGAGCTCTGCTCCCGGGATGTGAATGTGCATATTTGACCTGCAACAGCTTGTATTGTTACGAACTAGGCCTGACTTTTGGGCTCTCAAAGCTTCAGTTTAGGGTGAAAGGGGTCGTGATTGCCTCCTCGTATCCGCTTGCTTTCCTCTGGGGCCCCTGTCAAGCTGCGGCTGAAAACAGAAGGCTGCGCTACAAGTTAGTTCCCCCACACGGAAGCCGCAATGCGAAGGCCTTGTCAATTGCTCTCCGAACATCCGCAGAGATAGTTCAGTTGACCAATCGGCCGCTACAGTGACCTCCAGTGCGCAGTGCCAACTTTGGTACAGTCGGCTCAGTTGCTCCGTTCTTTTTGACAGCGATCGATGCACTGAGGCCGGCAGGTAATGCGCTTGCCATCGTCTGGATGGCGGTGGCCATTCCAGCGCGAATCGCGTTCCCATTCACTCCAGTGACGATCGCATTGGCTGCGGTCACTTTCCAGTCCTCATCATGTCTCAGTCCACTTGCACTGAACTATGTCCAGACACTAGCGCCAACGACCACATGTTCGGTGCCTCGGAAGCAGTCTGCCTACGAATGTCGCCGCAGTTGCTTTCGATTTGCAGGGCCGTTACGTTTAATCAGAAAAAGTGTCACCCAACCCGAAGCGGGATAGCTGGCAGCTCACATGTCAAGGGCAGCACCCGCCCGTTGTTCGCAGGCCATACTGACGAATGAGATGCAGCTGCAGAATGACGCAGATTTCGTGAAGTGCAGCGAGCCTTGCTATAAGCAGAAATCAGACGCCACCAGCGTGCGGTAAGTATCCACCCGTAGCAGCTTGCAGATCTGCTCCAGTCACAGAGATCAATCACCTGCCTTGCCCAGGAAGAGCTCGCGAGCCTTATGCAAGAACTGCTGACGCTTGCTGCCAACATGAACCCCACTTAGTTCTTTCGGAAGTTTCACCCGCTCAAGCCGACACGACTTGCATCCATGCTGCGGGGCCTTCTCTGAATCTGTTCGTTTCATGGTCCGGCATTACCAACAAACTGGTTTTTGGTTCCAACCCTTGCTTCATCCGATCAGAGAAAGCCTGCCAGCTCAAGATCGTACTCAAGGCATTGGGCGGACAAAACACACAGCATAGCTTGCAGACCACGCATGTCGGGCTCAGCCCTCGGGCACAAAAACCCAATCAGACCCACGCAGGCCGAGGGCAGCCGAGAAGTCAACACCCTGGTTTTCTGGCCTGCCCATGTCACACAATACCTGCACAACACCTGCGCAAAATTCATTGGGACCGATTGGTTACTTGAAGTTCGCTGAAACCCCCAATGCCTTCACTGAGGACCTGATCGAGAAGGCTGTGTCGTTCCTGAGCCAATCCAGCGCCACTTGACCATTTGATGATACTGGATTAGTTTGCTGGTGTAGTTTACTGGTGTAGTTCCCCCCCCCCCCCAGACCACTAGTTGATCTTGACAGTCCTGGAGCCATGAGCTGCAAACGCTGGCGCCACCTCGGTGCTGCCTTCTTGAAGACCCCCTGGGCCCCCTCCTACCCCAAAGGCCATAGGGCCTTACAGCCGTACAAGCCCAGGGAAGATCACAGCAAGAAAAGGATCAGTTTCTGGCTGCTGACTTAGTCTTCCTTTAGGGCTCTCACTTGAAGCATGCGTGGCTGGCCACGCTGCCACTCTCAAATGGGCTTGCCTTGCCGAGATTGACAAGGGCCTCTCCCATGAAGACATCCAGGAGGCCGGCTGCAGGACCAGCCGAGCACTCCTTTTGTCAACATTCGGCAGGCGTATCGCCGGCTAGAACAGCGTGGAAGTGGAGGTGGGAATCCGTCAGGTGGAAACTTCAGTCTGGGCTGTGCTGCATGGCCGATAGGTACACGCCAACCTGGTCCGGGCCAGGCCGCTACACTGGGCAGGGTGGGTAGCATGTTGCAGTCTTGCCTTTGCTTGTCAGTACAGGCCCCGCAACTGCCTGGTGGCCTCCAACCACCCAGCGGGCCGCAACCTCCGAGTGGCCCACAGCCTCCCAGTGGCCTGCAGCCACCCAGCTTACCCAGCTCACCGCTGCCACCCCGGCCGCCACCACGACCACAAATGTCTGCCCGCACCCTGGATGATAGTGATACACACATTGACATGTTGATTCCGCCTCGCAAGCGCACAAGATTCACAAGATTCACAAGATGCTCATACCACAAGTTCCGGTTCTTGAGCCTCGGACCTCGACATGTTGATGCACAGCGTGCGCACCCGCTTAAAACGAGCAATGTTGCACGACAGCAGTTGGTCCCATGCAGACGAAGTGCTTAAGGGCTGCCAAGCATCCAAACATAAGCATGTGTAAGCAATGCTGAGACGCCGGCCTACTCGAGCCCAAGCCCCGGCTATCAGGCCAGGAGCTCACGAGAAGTCTTGGCTGAAGGCCTAGACTTGAAACTCTCTGCTGGCAATCTGAGGTGCCACCATACCCCGGTGCAGGTAACCCATACCAGGCTGCCTTGTTCCCTTCTTGAGTTGAGTGGAGTCAAGACGTGCAAGACGCAGACACTGCAGCGCACTCAGGGTGAGATGCGCATCTCACACTGCCAGGCACCATCGGTGCCACCCTTGGCCATGCCGCCCATGATGTACCAGGCCAGGGCCCAAGTCTTTGCAGTCTTCGGCCAGAAGCTAACACAGATACTGTCCACAACTTGCAGTCTTGCGGTGGTAATCTTTCGTCTCTATGATCCCAGGGATATCCGCTTCCCGTGGAACCGCCTTCTGGCGGGCCATGGTGGGCTGGACACCCGGACACTCAAGACTCTCATCAAAGGCACCGATTTCAAAATTGCGAGCATCATCTTCCGCAACCTGCAGTGCGCAACCTGAGGCTTGGCTGTTGGGGGGTCTTGGCGCAGGCTGTGTAGATTGACATATGCAAAAAAGGTGCGCGTGCTCTTTCAAAAAGCCTCCAGATCTCTGAAAAGGCTTGGTTGGAACCTTCTTAGTGAATCCGTTCAAGTCTGGACCCTGGGTGAAGTGCCGGTCGAATCTATGTCTTCGACTTCAGGCCCTCACGCCGTAGCCTAAGGCCCGAGGACTTCAACTTCGCTATGGATCCAGCAGCATGGCTTTCAGCGGATGCTCGGCACCATAAATCGGCTCCGTGTGCTGCTCCGAGAGAAGTATTTCCAAGCAGTGGGGTGCAACATGGGGACTTCAGCGCCATAGGATGGGAACAGCAGCCAAGCCAAGAGCGCAGAAGCCCAAGCGACGCGGATGCTTGTCTTAGAAAATCCACCTCTGGTGCTGTGTTAGTCAAAAAGGCTTTGCGGCTTGTGCAATGAAGGCAGAGCTGGCTGAATCCGGAAAGCCCGATCTTCCGGAGCCTGATGGCAAGGCCTCCCTACACCAGAGCTTATAAGTTGTGCATATGTGAAGGTGCATGACTCAGCCGAAGCATATCTCAATCAGTATATGGGAATTATATGGTTAGTATTACGTCTTTCAGACCCAGGGATGGTTCAGAGATGGTGCCTCTCCAGTGTGGGAGGCCTCTTACGAAGAGCTCTTGACATTGCTGAGGCAACAGAGCCAGCGCCCTGGACAGCGCAGTGCTCTCTAGGAAAGCACCACAATCTGTGTTTAAGAGTACAGTACAAGTTTTCGTGTACGTCTGCTTACGAAATCTTTCGATCCTTCCTTAAGAGGCGAAGAGGCGAAAGCGAATGTGGCGATGTGTGCCAAGACGCTGCAGACGACACAGGACGTCGCCGTGCCTGAGGTATGTTAGCAGAGATTGCTCTGCTGCAGCCACAAATCAAGCTCGCCGTCCAGAGCAGATCCACACATGACTCGCATGGAGGAGCAGCACCAGAAGATGTTCGCGGAGATGCAGAAGGCCAGCGCGGGATTGAAAGCTTACAGGAAACGGGCGCATGCCACTACACAGGCTTTGCAAAGCGTGACGCAGAAGTCCTCGAAGCCGCAGACCATGGAGCTCTCTGTCACGACCATAGCACTGCACCGCTGCTCTCGGAAGACAAGATCTGGGAATTCGGATGTCTGGGTAATGGTTTTGTGCCGATGCTTTGCTACGTAGTTCTGGGAAGTGAGTGAGCCTAAGAACAGTCATTAGGCACTCACTACATCTCTCACTTCTGCACTGGTTCTGTTTGCGAAGCCGTGGCCCCACCCCCAGGAGTTTGTCAAACTCCATCTTCGCCAGTTTCCGGCTGTCAGAGAGGGCCCCCTTACGCCCCACAGCCTGACCACAGCCTACCTTTTAATCAACATATACTATAGGTGCACACACACACACACACACACACACACACGAGGGAGAGAGAGAGAGAGGGAGCGAGCGAGAGACGCGCGCGTGCACACACACACACACACACACACACACACACACACACACACACACACACACACACACACACACACACACGCAGGCACACATAGCACACGCACATACACACGAATGTATGTATATATGTATGCATATATATATATATACACTTATTCATTGATTTGTTTATATATATATGTATATGTAAACATACCACACATATAACACACACACACACAGAACACGCACACACATAAAACACGCGCACACACACACACATAAAACACACACACACACATACAAATATCAGAAACACGCACACACAATGAACACGCATAATCACACATAAACACATACGCACACACAAACTCACACTCACACAGAGACACCTTGCAACACTGGGCAATATGACGGACCTCCACCAGAGCCAGAGATGCAGGCCAGTAGTGGATCGGCAGCCATGGCCGAGCCTCTGCCCGGGGACGACATGCATCCCCAAATCATGCAGGTGGATGGGCTGCACATAGCTCACAGCTCTCACAGCTCTACATAGCTCCACAATCACAAGGCTGCAGGGTTGCAAGTCTGGTCAACTGCTGCAGGCTCTCATGCACTTTGTGCAGTTGACGAGTCAGAAGGAGGGGCGGTCTCAAGAGGACGTGTCTCGCGTTGCTTTCAGCAATTGCATCATACATGCCTCCTCTGCAGGGCATTGCTCTCGCTACACACACTCTTAAAGCTAGCAAAGCTAAGCCTTTGCAGCTAAAGTGCAGCCTCCCCTTAGCAGCATTAGCACATGCTCTTACTGTGGACAGGATGTGCTGGCAGAGTTCTCGACCCCGCAGGGCATGAAAGCTTTCACAGACCTCATGAGCATGGCTGCTGGAGGAGCTGCCGGTAACCTCAGAAAGGCCCGAATGCTTGCCGAAGCGACCGGAAGAGTGGGAATCTACTTGGAACATCTAGGAAAGCCTCTCGGCCGATTTGATTCCATGATTCCCAGGGCCTCAGGCAAACAAAGCCATCAGATTCAGGGAAGTCTGCTTGAGCCTGCCCTTCCCTTCGTGGTTCTGAGGCACTGCCCTTGGCTGCTTGGAGAGAGCAGCGAAGCTTCAGAAGCTGGTGAACACGGGTGTGCACTGAGAGACTGTTCAGGCAACGTGCAGCGAGTACACTTTGCCGTGGATACCTGGACTGCTTATGTGACTTGTGGAGTGCCGCGAATCCTTATGAATCCTTCATCTGTCTGCTTTTGGGTACTAGGGGTACTAGGGCTGCCTATGGCTACCCCTTGACTTCTTCAGTGTTGCCACTTTCAAGTCGAGGATCTTGCCAGTGCCACCGGCTTCTATGCCAGCCGCTTCGCAGTGTGCATGCCAGAAGTGAAGTGGTACGCCTCTGAGCGAATGCTGAATCCATCAGACTATTTGGGGATCAAGATGCTGGAGGACTGCATCGAGTACATGACCACAGCTCCCGAAAGCCCGGCCAAGGGCAGAAACCCTGGCAAGGGTGGAAGCCAGAAGTCTCTGATAGACGACACTGCGAGCTCCGACGAAGACATGGAGGAGCTGAAGGGAAAGATGTGATACCGGTGAAAAACGGGTGAAACCTCTACTGCGGGCATGCAGCCGAATGCGAGGCAGTGCTGCCTCAACGTCTCTGCATGGAGTTCACGCGAAGGTGTTAGGCGCTGCAAAAACGCTCCCTTCGTGTTGCACTCTCTTTCTGCCCTTTTTTACAGGGGGTTGTTTGATTATTGCTTGAACATTTCGGACCCCCTGTTGGCAATTGTCCAAAGCTCACTGTTCACTGTGACGGCTTGCAGGACTTCGATGACTTTTGCCTTTCGCTGGGCACGGAGCCGAGCCGCCAGGCCTCTCTGCTTCTCCGGGGCCGCGTGGCAAGTGTGGACGTCACCGAGGCAAGGAAACGGTTTTTTCTTCTGGAGAAATCTTTCCATCCTGATTCCTCATCTCTCGTTCCTTATGATTTGTTCTGTTTCTCTCTTTCTTTCTTGATTGTGTAATTCTTTGTTTTTTTTCTTTCTTTCCTCCTTCTCCTTCCTTCCATCCTTCCTTCATTCCGTTCTTCCTTTCTTTCTTTCTGTATTTCTTATTTTTTCAATCTTTCTTGATTTCTGTCTTTCCCTCTCTCTCTCTCTCTTTATGCTTCTTGCTTTCTTCCTTCCCTTTTGTCTCTCTGTCTCTGTCTCTGTCTCTGTCTCTGTCTCTGTCTCTGTCTCTGTCTCTGTCTCTCTCTCTCTCTCTCTCTCTCTCTCTCGCTCTCTCTCACGACTTTTTATACAGTCCTTGCAAACGCGGGCAGCACAGCACAGCAGCCTGATTTTTCCTTTCCTTTTTGAGGACGCTTGGGAGGGAGTCCAACACCTCCTCGGCCGCTGCTCTGCCTTGGTCTGCACCTCCTTGCTCACTCAGGCGCCCCCGCCCCCCCCCAACCCTCCTTTTCCCCCCTCCCCCCCTCCCCAAATTTTAAGGAGGACTCTGAGAGACGGCTGAAAAAGATGGAGAAGGGAGGGAGGAGTGCTTGCTTGGCCCATATCCCGCTCCCCTCCTTTGTTGTCAAAGCTCTTGAGTTGAAATCTCTAATTTCATCCACAACCCCCCAACCCCCCCCCCTTCCACCCCTTCCCGCAGCATCCTTCCTGTCCATGCGCTAGGTCGGATACAAGGAGCCCCTGATCTGGACCGACGTGCTGCAAGGAGCCTCTCCACTGCTCGAGGAGGGAGGCATCCTGCTGCTCTATGATTCCGAGCCTTGTTCTGAAGTCTCTTCCTGGGGAGAATGTGGTAGCATTACACTTCCTTAATGTTGGGCCCGCTTTACTTGGGGCCCCCTCTGTAAAGTCAAGTTTGCTGGGCCATGCAGGATCGCGTGACTGCCTGATTTTCTTTAAAGAAAGCTTTGAACCTAAACCCCAAACCACCTGAACCTTCACATCCCCAAATAAACCCTAGATTGCCAAGACTCCTTTCCATGACCCCGAAAACTGGAATCTGGGCCGAGGCGAAGCCCAGAACTCCCTTTCAAAAAAGTTATGTGAACGAACTGTCCGCTGAGTCAGACAAGGGGGTGGTCCAGGCAGGCTGATCCCCGATAACGGGCTCTATTTCGGGGGCCCTCTTGAAAATCCTGGCTCCTGCCCCGGGGCTCTGGATTTCGATGCCCCTGGCCTCTTGGCTGAAAGGCCGGCCCTTTGAATCTTAAAGCCAAGCCTTGGGTCTCCCGAGGCAAGATCAAGAGCTACCTTTAAAACCAACGTATCACAGAATGGTCCAAAGGGATTTTGGGCTAATGGCCAAGATCTTGAGCTTGTCAAGTCCAGCGCGCTTTGAATTTCGAAGACCTGGCCTGCTGCTTTTTAAAGGCTGCGTTCATGAAATCTTCAGGCAAGGGGGCCTTTCCTGTCAAGGGCTCGGTGTCTTAGATTCAAAAGATTCGGATTCGAAGGCTTGGCTCGTTGGGTTAAAGGCAACGGCAAAACTCTTGAAGTTGTGAAGCCCTGCGAGCTTTGGATTTCAATTGCCTGGCCTCTTGCTTCAAGGCCAGGATCTTGAACCTTTAAGCCTCCGAGCTTTGGATTTCAACGACTTGGCCTTTTGTTCTCAGGACCAGGCTCGTGAAATCTTAAGGCAAAGGATCCTTGGACATCGAAGGCCTGGCCTTTGGATTAAAAGCCAAGCTCTTGTAATATGAGTCTTGTGGCTCTTGAAATGTTAAAGGGGCCTTGGATCGAATTTTAAGGGCCTGGCCTGTTGGCTTAAAGTGGGGTTCTTCTAATGTAGGGAGGGGATGGGGGGGGTCTTTTGAATCTCGTTTAAAGTCTTTTGAAGTCTGAGGATGGTCCAAATCAGCTTCCATTGTTCCCGGGGGAGGCCACATTAAAGATGTCCAACTTAGCACTCTCTAGTTCAAGAACTGTCAGAAACGGTCAAGGAGAAGTGGGGCGACTTCGCAGATGTGGCGAAAATGAGTGACTTCATCAAGACGCAGCAGTTGGCCCTGGAGCTTGTTGACAGACAGGAGCCTGTCGACTACGCAGGCGATGCTGATGGAAGGATGTTCATCTTGGTCTTCAAAAAGACTTCGAAGACTGCCTGCAAATCGCCAACCTGGCTCCTGCAACGTGCAGAAGACTTCAAACAAGCTGGAAACAGCTACTACAGCAACCCAGCAAAGCGTAAGCATCCAGAGGAAGCGGTCTGCTCCAACCCTCGGGTGCAAGTGTTGTGGAAGGCCGTCGCCTGCTACGTGCAGGGATTGGATTGTCTTACGCTGGTGCGGTCTGACCTCTACAAGGATCAGCACGACACAGCTGACACAACGCCCGCTGAACGCGAGAGGCAGCTGGCGCTCTTGTCCTCCAGGCCTCCTGCCCCACTTAATCACCGAGCACCATTATCGTGGAAGCAGCTTCAGGGATTGTACTCCGGGATTGTACTCCGAAAGACTAAGATTACCCTTAGGCACTGTCGCAAGGCTGTACTGCAATCTGGCTGCGGCATATCTGGAGTTGGGTCCAACAGCAGGGACGTACCAACACGCCCTCAAAGTTGTCAACCTGGCTCTGGAGACTTGGCAGCTGTTGGGTTTAGCATGGGCAGTAAATGCCAGTACCTCGACGTACCGCCGGCAACTGTCAAGGACTGCGCGCCAGAATGGGATCGAGCCATTGAGCGCAAGGCCAAGATCCTGGAGGCAATGCAAAGACACCGTGACTAGCTAACGTAGCCGTGTCCAAAGGTGCCCTTCCGAATTCACGTGCTACAGACGACGCGCGAGGAAGCCTCACAGCAGCTTGGGCTCGAAGAACCAAAGGCTTTGCCAAAGCAGCAGACAATGCTGTAGCCTGTAGCTAAATTAGCCCGTCGAACTTTGAAATGGTTGCGCAACAAGACGCTTAGCCATTGTTCCGGCCGGCAGGGACCGCATTTATGCTGCGACGCTGCTGTGTAGCCACCTGTTTCTTAGTCTGCAGTGCTCAGGCTCTGCACCAAACTCGGCGAAAGAATCATTCGCAAGACTTCGCAAGCTTGCTGTCTCCACATTGGCTCCGTATGGCTATACCATTGGCAGATTCGCGTGCCAAGGCCTCCACTATCCAGGCTTTGGCTTCGATGATCCAGAGCGCAGGGCAGGGTTCCCAGATCTGCAGGGAGCTTGTACTTTCACATCTTCGACTTTGCATCCTACCAAGTGCTTTATTGGAGAAATGCTCACCCAAGCTTCTTCAAACTTCTTGTCAACTACTGGCGCCAGCAATGGTGAGGATGTAGGATGCGACAACGGCAGTGAATGGGAAAAGCTAACCTCGAACATCACTAGATTCACTAGATCCTTTCTAAACTTGCATCCGCATCTAGAATTGACATGTTGACCATGTGCCCGCACAAATCCTGTCGCAACTTTTCGGCTGGCAGCACACTTGAAGGCGGCAAGGGCCTCAGGGAAGGCGCGCCGCCCTGCCACTGCGGCAATGAAGTGCAGATGGCCGTTGCTGGCGGCAATTCAGCTGCAATCTTGCTTCTGGAGGTTGTTGCAAAAACAACTTCTCAACCCTCTGGCTCTTAAAAACCGACCCGCCCACCCGGAGACAACTGAGACACCCAACAGAGAGATTTAGGCGCTCGCCGCCTCGGCCATTGCCATCACCACCAGATCGGAGAGCAGCAGCGGTGGAAACCCGATCCGAAAGGCTTCTTTCCTCCGACTGCCCATGTAGGTAGAGATATCGGCTCTCCAGTTAATGCATGTCTGGCACATTCGGAACTTTTGGGAATTGTCAGTTTTGACTGCGCCTCGCCACGCTCTGAAAGGTGGTGAGGATGATGCAGAAGATGGGAGAAAAGATCGACAAGGAGGCAAAAACTGAGGCAGACCTCTATGAGAAGTTCGAGTGCTACTGCAAGGGGACGATAGCGGAGCTTCAACAGACGCTTGACTGACGAGATGGTTTCTGGGCTGGGCACCTCGAACCGACGCATTGGAAGCGATCTCTGCCTCGTGCAATCAAGGAGCATTCAGCAGGCAGAGGGCAACCCGCTCTCCCAAGCTGACGTCGATGGAAAGGTTGCAGAAATCGACTCGCTCCAGCAGGATTCTTGTGAGTTCCAGTCTGCGCCACATTGCGCACACTGTATCGGACTGCAAAATGGATGTGGCAGACGAGCCTGGTTAGCATGACTACCTGCCTAAGTTTGAAGCCTCAAGTGCTGTGGCCTTTTTCTGCATAGCTGTCATGTCAGTTCTATGGTTACTTCTCTCCATTCGATTCCTTGCCTACAGGAGGTTACCAAGCTGAAAGAGGACCGCTTGGCTGAAGAGGAGAGCCTGAAGGCTGCAAAGGCCCAGCGCACCAAGGAGCACGGCAACTTCGTGAACGAGGCATGGGAGTGGGACGATCGTGAGTACCCTCCCCCCCCCCCCTTTTTTTTCGCCTTTCCTGGTCCGTGTCATTTACAACTACGGTGGTCCCTGAGATAGCTGAGCTTTTCCTCGTCCGCTTCGTCACAGGTCACTGAGGAGAAGCAGGTGGTCGCGACCATCGACAAGGCTGCTGAAGCCATTGCAGGCACAACGGAGACAGCGGCCTCCTTCTTGCAGATCGGCAACTCCGATGGACAGGCTGCGACACAGTGATTTCAGTTCGCTGTGCAAGCCTTTGAAATTTGTAAGATTCGCCGCGCATGGCAACAGGTACTCTCAGGTACACCGACTGAGCTTAGCAAGCAAGTACAACTACAGCCTGAAATGAGCAGGTGAACCAATCAGGAAGTGTGTGCAATGGGATGCGTGTGCAGGTCCCCCGGCTTCTTCGCTTGCTGGACAGCGACCTTCGCCTGGATAGCGCAGACAAGCGCCGAGCAGCTGCCTTCCTCCAAGGACACTTTACACATGCGCCAAACGCCAAGAATTTTTCATTTCGCGAGTTCATCCGCAAACCTTCGAACTCTGCATCATCTTCCATAGCTTGAAAGGATCTCGGAGCATAAGCTTGCATATGTCAAAGTGACAAGTTAAGCAGAGACGGTGCCTAGCGGTTCTTGCAGATTCCAGCCATGCCGGCATGAAACGGGCAGGCGACCGCAGCGCCGCCGATCCTGGCATGGCGGCTCAGAAGCGCATACTGCTGGCTGTGCAGCGATAAGCCGGGCGGCAACAAGACAAGCTGTAGGACCAGCTGTGCGAACCTGCCGTCAGAACCCCGAACTTCAACTATCTCGCTCTAAGGTGGTTGGCATGCTCTCGGGCATCAAGGATGAGACCAAGGAGGAGATCGCGACTGAGACAAAAACCGAGGAGGATGCCGAGGAGACCTTTACCGGTGTGAAAACGTCCAAGAAGGTTGAAATCTCAACCCTGCTCAACCAATTCGAGCGCAAGATGAAGAGAATTGGAGAGCTAAAGGTTGAGGTGGTCAACCTCGAAAGACAGCTGGCAGAGCAGGGAAACAGTCTTGAGGATGATAAGAAGAGCCTTGCCAATCCTGGACATCTCTCGTTAAATTTTTCTTGAATGCCAAGATCATCGGAAGACTTTAAGAGACAGAAACCAGGGCCCAGTGCGAGCTTGCAGCATTGCAGTCCCTGTTCGGATTAGGGCCTCTAGGGACGAAGGAACTTGGAGGCTCTCTGTCTGTGCAGCCCAGGATGCTTGCTGAAGTGCAGAAGAGCTGCGCCAAGAAAGCGGAGGACTGGGAGAAGCGCACCGCTGCCCGACCCTTGCCCTGAAAATTCTGCTTCCAAAGAACCAGACCACCAGATTCACAATGAGATTGGCAGTTCAAGTGTTCAGTGGGCCAAAAAGCGCCACTAAGGGAAGGAGGAGCAGCTCGCCCTGCAGGACAGCCCTCTATTTTTTGTCGGGATGTCCTTGCGCACGTCGCGCGCACAGGCGCACAGAGCACTTTTCAGGAGACCATCAAAATCCTGGACTCAGACGAATCTCTGGACCTCTTCCGCAAGCGCAGCCCTTCGCTACTTCAGCTTTCAAGCAGCCGGGAGAAGGCACAAAAGAAAAGCTCTTCTTAGAATGATCTGAGAGTGAGGTTAGTCCAACACACCGCTATGTCTTCTTATAGGTTTACGTTTGGCTGTGTTTTCGTGGTTTTTTTTCTCAGGTGCGCCGCGAGGCCCTGGGCCTTATCCGCCGTGCCCGCCGCGCGACATCCGTGGCGAGATCCACGAAATCCGAGCGGCCAGAGCTCAATTTCCTGGCCCTCGCCCTCTCTGGGCGCAAGGCCAGCACGCGTCATGTCCTACGTCGTAACATCTCGCACATGTTGCATCCTTTTGTAAGAAACCGGGGGTCCCAGTTCGGGGTACTTCGGATCCATTTTGAGTTCTTCGTGGGAGGTCGACTTCACCAAGATTTTAACGAAGATCGATGGCATGGTGGCCTTGCTGGAGAAAGAGCAGGAAGACGACAAGACGAAGCAGAGCTACTGCGGTAAGGAGTTTCGCAGCACAGAGGAGAAGTCCAAGACTCTGGATTCCAAGATCAAGTCGCTGAAGGCCAGCTTGGTGGAGAAGAAGGAAGCGATTGCAAAGCTGAGTGAGGACATCGAGGGCCTGCAAAAGGGCGTCACCGCCTTGGATGAGTCTGTCGCAAAAGCCAGCGAAAACCGCAAAGCCGAGCACGCAGAGTTCCAGGCAACGGGCTTTCATTGTTTCATGCTCTTTCGAATCCTACATTTCTCTCATGTCCCTTCTCTTCAGATCTTGCCTGCAGGGGTTCTTGCTCAGGGGTTCCTGCTGACCCCAGGAGAGCATGTCCTCGAATTCTGCGTCCGTCGATCTGCTGAGCCTGGCACGAGATCGTCTCAACAAGCTCTACAATCCGACCATGGTGGCAGAAACCACCACGAAGAGTCCCTATGACCTTTCATTCCTTCAGATGTCCAAAATCGCTCAGCCCCCTCCTACCTTCGAGGGCGGCTACCAGAAGAACTCTGAGGGAAGCAACGGAGTTCTGAAGATGATTGATACCTTGGCATCCGACGCTCAGCAATCTAGAGGTAGCCGTATGCTGCAGCTAGTATGATCCGGCCAGTGAGCTGATACTTGTTGAACAAGTCCCACTCCTAGGACATCGAGAAGGAAATGGCAGTGGCCAAGACGGAGGAGGCAGATGCCCAGGAAGAGTACGAAACGACCGTGCAGGACCTTCTAGTGTGCTACGCTTACCCTGACTTGTTTGATTTTTTCAGACCTGGCCAGTTTAGTTTACTGCTTCTCGTGCGATCAAGAACAAGACAAGCTCACTCATGAACGATGGATCACTAGTTCGACTGGATCAGCTCTCAGGATGTTCCGCGTGCGAGATCTGTCGCCTACATTTCAGGGGGTGTTTTTCGTCCTCGGAACGTTGATCACTTAATTGTCAACTCTGCGTGTCGACTGCCTTCCCATATTTCTTTAAGTACTTGGAGTTTCGTTTGGCGATTCGAACTCGATGCGCAGGAAGACCTCACTAAAGCTTCAGCTAAACTCAACCATTTCTTAGTCTTTCCACATGTGCAAGTTTTGGCACATAGCGTCGCCCACATAGCAACTTGTCCCGAGCTAGGATGGGGGACGTGGCGTGGTCTTGCAGGTCAAGTCGAGGAACCCGCTTCCCCAGCACATAAAGTCTCGGGTCTTCATTCAAAAAAACCCAAAATCATCGAAAGTGGAGGGGCGCATGTGCTGTAGGGCTCGTTGGGGAGGGGATCAGAGGTGGGAAAACAGGGGTCCCCAACAGGAGCCACTTTTTTATATAGGGAACCTCTAGCGCCCAGCCGAGGCGAATGAAGCCTCTTATGTCTTGAAGCCCATGGCTGCTTCGTGTCCTGTCCTGTGAGCATCTTTGCCAGGATGCAGCAAAGAAACGAGCGGCCGATCTGGAGCTTGCCACACAGAAGGCCGCAGAGAAGTCGGACATTGAGGGCGACATCAGTGACGACAAGTCCCCTGGCAGAGCTGCGATGTCCAGGGCCAAACAGAAATTGACATGCCTTTGAACGCAAGGAAAGATGTTGATGTCAAAAAGAAGCAGCTTGGAGCCACAGAGAAGTACACCGCGGATTTGCACGAGGAGAGGTTCTGTGAAAAAATGCTGCTGATTTGTTCACCAAAGATCGCCAACTCTATCTTCATTTCCACTGAACCATGGATCTCAAGATCCGATCAAGGCACAGTTGCCTTTCTGCATCTCTTTCAGCCATGGCCAGAATATGCAAGGACTGCGACTGGCTCTTGAAGAACTTCGACTTGCGTGCTCAGGCGCGTACTGAAGAGAAGGCCACTAGGCTTGAATTGGTTGCCACAGCTTCGTTGAAGATGCTGTGCAGCTGCACGACACCTAAGGAGAGCTTGATTCGTGCGAAGACTGTACTAGCGGGCATGTGAGCTCACCAGCCAGACAGGAGAGGCGTTTGGCGTTTGGCAAAACAGCTGCAGATTTACACTAATTTTGCTATGCTGCTGTATATGCAAGTCTTTATCTGCAAAGGCGATCCCTGCCCCTGACTCTGAGAGAGAGAGAGAGAGAGAGAGAGAGAGAGAGAGAGAGAGCTCTGTGACGTACCCCAGAGACTTGACCGAGAAGCTTCCACAGCCGTTACTTTTGGCACAGACAGACAAACAGACGGTCCACGCTTAGCCTGCGCAGCCCGATTGCCTGCGAGAAGTGCAAGCGCAAAAGCAAGAAAGAATGGCCAAGGTCCGATGGAGCGACTAGCGGGCCAAGCGGGCCCAGCAAGCATCAGCCTCAGCTTGCACAAGAGAACACAACGGAGAACGACAATTATTATAATTGAGGCCGTTGTGTTTGAGTTATAGCAATAGCAACTGGCTGTTCTGAGGTCATTGCCCTCGGTGGCTAGCGCACCTGCATTGGCAGGTCCGGCCCCTCAAGCCAAGCGGTGTTTGGTAGGCATGGGCGCTATCAGGATACTTCTCCCACGTGCTCTCCATTTCAGGAGCTTAGGGGTCTGCTGTTCTAGGTCCAGCCTCGCCAGCGCCGGTCGCTGAAGCAGCAGGAGCAAGCGGTGGGCGAAGCAGGGTGCTGGCCCTAACAGAAAAGTGCTCTTTGTTGCCCCCCCCCCCCCACGTGGAGGACCATCGCCGCTGTCGCTTCGCGAAAGCTTCGATGCCATCAACAGCTGCCTGCAGCGACTAGTGGCTGAGCCCTGACCCGCACAGCCTCCTCTCAGAACTCCCCTGTCCCTCTCTTTTTTTAGTGCTTGGGTCCCCGGCACTACATGTTGCATCATTTTCTGCTACATTGTGTTTTGCTTCTGGTCGACCCAGGAGAGCAACAGCAAAGCAGAGGCTGCCAAGTCGCTCAGCACACTTGCGATGGTCCTCCGTAACTTGCTGAACGATCCCAGCTCCGAGAAGAATCGAAAGGTCAACACTTCCAGCACTCGATTTAGCGAGATCTTCCGGAACAACAGTGCAGCTGCCGAACTGCTCAAACTTGCAGGGTTCCAGTTTCAGCATCCAAACTTTGTCTTTGGTGACAACGGCCAGAGCACAGAGGGGGCACAGCGCACCTTGGACCTTCTTCAAGAAGCCCAGCGGAACCTGGACCAAACATGGACATCCAAACCACCCGGTGCACCTGGCACGTTAGCTGGAAGCGCTCCTCCTGGTGCCCCTGCCACCCCTGAGGAGGAGGCTCGTGCCCCAACAGGCGCGGCCCAAGCGGTCACCACGGCCCCAGCCGGCCCGGCCACAACGGTCCCAGCCCCAGCAGCCTCGGTCGCAGCAGCGCGGCCCTGGGCACGTGCGTCGGCAGCACAACAATGGGCAAGCCAAGCCCGAGATATCGGAAGTGAAGAAGCCGGAGGCCTGCAAGCAGGCCTGCCCTCCTCCGGGAGCGCTGGCTCGGTCCCGACAGACAGGCCAACACCATCACCGACACCTGCACACCCTGCAGAGACCCTGCCCAGCGTGCCACCTCCTAATCCCCCCATAGCTCATCCTGCAGAAGCCTCTGGCCCTGCAACAGCTCCCGCTCACCACACAGGTCCCCAGATGCATTTGCCTATCGCCCATCCAGCGCAGGCAGCTGTCGAGATCTTAGTGTCAGATTCTTCGATGCGAGATGCTGCATGTTGCAAGCATGTTGGAATTCAAATTTAGTGCGCGAGTGATGCTTAAAATGTTCCCCGGCTTGAGAATATCATTCAGGCAGCACGCATCAAGGCAAGAGCGGATGCGTTCCACCAGGTTGAAAGGGCTCTTGCTGCAAGAGCCGGACTCCAGAAGGAAACATCGAGCCAGGGGTAAGGGGCGTGGAGGGGCACGGTGCACATTGAATCGGCTGAATCAGGATGTGTATTAAATTATTGAATTCGCCAATCTATAGGGCCTCTGGAGTCAGGAAACCGAGCTCAGAGTCACGATTCAAATCCCCATTTTGAGCATCTTGCCAGGGTTTCTGCAAGTATGAAGAAGTCTCTTTCCAATAGCTAGGTCCAAGCGGCGTGGCAACACCGCGACCTGCGGATCTCCTGAGTTTGCATGCAAGTATGGATCACAAACATCCTTTAGCAAGGCCTTGCGCAATGTCATTCAAAGGCTAGATGTTCTGTTATGCTGAGCACAAGATGAATTTCGAAAATTCAACCTAAGCTTTCCTTGGTGGTGACTGACTGTGGTTACTGCGCAAACCGTGTGCAACCATGTAGCACACTCTGCAAAGTTCAAGCCAGTGCCGCCAACGAGGTCGTGACAGCCGCACACCCAGCAGAAGGCATGACACAGCCACAGCCACAACAGCCACAGCCACAGCCTGCAGCCCATCCTGCAGAAGCTCAAGCAGCACACCCAGCAGAATCGCAGAACCTGCCAGCTGCACGTCCGGCAGAGACGCACGCCGCCCATCCAGCGGAAGTGCCGCAGATGGCTCATCCGGCAGAGTCCACACTGGCCACACACGAGGCACCAGCCGACACTGGAGCCTCTGAGGAGCCTCAAAGCGGTGGTTGACAGCTTCAAGCGCACTCTGAGAAAATTTGGCGCAGTGAGTGGCAATAGTGGAAAGCATGTGGGTTGGAACAATCTAGTTAGCTTCTGGGTCATTGAGTCATTCCCAATATTCCTCAGAACCGCCCATGCGAAATTTAAGGCTGGTCAGATGAGAATCTGGACCACCCACAGGTATGATCAGGGATGCAAGTCCATATCGCCACATGCAGTGAGCAGTGTTGTTTTATATAAATACAAGTATAAAAATCTAAACATAAATATATTGATATATATGTTTATATTACTGTGAAGCTCATTGTCATGCCCCATGTCTGTGCTCGCCGCCGCCTTTTGCGTCCAATCAAAGCCGTTTGCCTTGTGAGCCCGTTGCAGCTCGCACGTTCTACCTCAGGCCATTGTGCTGACTCGTTGTAGCTGAAGCTGTCCGGTGCATCAGCACAGACTCTGACAGCACGAGATGCAAGCAGATTGAGAGTCTCAAGTAGAAGTGGAACATGCGAGCATATGCGAGCATAAGCTCATGGTCTGAGCAGGTCTTGCCGCTTTGCTTCGAGCAACCGGTCTTCGACATGGCTTCCTCGTACACAAACCCCATGGCGCAGCCCATGTCGCGCACACAGATTTCGCAGTCAGATGATGTTGCTACAGGGACGGAGCTACTGGAGAGAGGGCGCAATGTGAAGCTCAGAGACCTTGTTCGCTCATTGGTTCAGGCCAGGATTCCAGCAGCCCCTTATGGCGTGCGGGCCTTTGCGTGGGCTTGGGCACTTCCCTGAGCCGAGCTCTAAATCGAGCTCGACTGAGCTGAGGCAGCCAGATTACCAGCAGCCCGTAATGCCTCACGCGGGCTACGGCTACGCACAGCCCGCCTCTTCAGTCTGGGATTTCTTAAGAATGAGCTCTGCGTGCATGCGCGTGCTGCCAACGGGGAGCTGTTAGCACATCTAAAAACAGTGCCAAAAGCGAGTCGATTGGCCGTGCCTGCTCCAATCTCTCCACCGCTAAGGCAAGGCTACGGTGGCCAGGCTTGGGTTTTTTGCTACATTCAGCTACTCGTATCATCCACCGTGCACAGGGTTCTTCGAGTCTGAAGGGCGTGCCTTTCTTAACAGGTGAAGCGCCATGCCCCGGGGCCCTGTTGTCAAATGTGCGAGGGAGCTCTGGGACGTGGGATGCATATGTTTTTAGGTTTGTCTGAAACCAGGGCCGGGGGTGGGGGCGTGTCCCTCTGTCACAACCCAGTGACTGGTTAGAGCTATGATGTTCAATCTGGCTATTCACGGCTGCATCTTCTCAAGACAGTCCAGTGAAGGCCCATTCAACAAAGCACAGTGTGCAGTCTAGAATCTTCCAGAGCTTTGAAATTTCGCAGGCGATGATGTCTGCGAAAGAACAGAAGCAGTGGCAGAAGAAAGAAGAGAAGCGCTGTGAGCCCAAGCATGGTGAAAGTGCAGCGGCGCAGCAGATCAAAGGGTGCTGAGACGTGTTTTGTGTCAAAATTTGCGTTTATAAGGCCAGCGCCTTGACAGGGTTCGGAAAGCACAGGCGAGACTCGGCTTCGACAGACAGTGACCGGTTCATCAGACCGTCTTGTCTTTCTTTGGCGCAGTCTCTGCATTTGCTTTGGGATCTCCCGCTCCATGCCTGCCATGGCTTGCTTGTCGGCTCCAGGGTCTTGGTACCTTCGCCCTGCTCGATGGCCATTCTGAGGATTCAAGCCAAAAAGGACAAGGAGAACTTCCTCATGTTCATGTCTCTTGGCCAAGCAAAACAAGCGAGATTCGCCAGTCTTCCTTGGTAACCGCATTCCACTCTGCACCCAATCCGGACAAGGGGTGGTGCATTGATCGGCCTTGGTATCCTTCTGGCAGTGTCCTTAGCTGGACTGCATGCTTTGCACCTCCAATGGTTGCAGCGTTGGTACTTGTTGATTAAAGTCCACAGTTTGGACAGCAGGACTTGTCCAAACTTGCAGCGGCGAAAGTGGATGACAGCTCTGCAAAGCGTGTCTGCATCATGCAGACACCTACGACTCAGGGCCTCACCATGATCGGACCATCGTGGGGCCGCCGAACTCAGCAAATCAGTCTGCCATATCATGGCACGAGGGATCGTTGGAACTCATGCCGTTCACGATAGTCACAGATTCGGATGATCCAGACATCCCGGACTTCGCAATGCACAACACAACTGCCCTGTTGCCAGGAGTCAAGGAATTTACGGGCTTAGGTCTGCCACTCAGCCCTGAAGGGAGTTTCGCCCGGACTCTGCGTAAACTCTCTGATCCTGTCCTTAACTGTCGCAATGGAGCTGATCAGCACCTTGGGGGCCAGGCGTCGGCCTGATTGGAATGAAAACGTCGCTGTTCAAAATCGAGGCGCAGGGCTCTTGGAATAGAGGTGTATACGAGGGCCTGACATGAGCGCATATGAGCGCTCTCACGTGCCGTTTAAGAAGCCTTAGACAGGTCCCGCTAGCAACGGCTTGGGCACACCGTTTACTTCGAAGTGAGCTGATGGGTGCCTTCTACTATAAGCAACAAACCACAAGAGTCAGGCAGTCCCCTTTGAGTGCTCTAGCGACTGTCAGATTGACATCTCCTGCGACAAGTCCTTGGTCTTGGAGAGAGCTATGTGCCGGGTGCTTCCAGCAGCTTCCACATGGCTGATGCCTCACACACATGGGTTGATATGGGTTGTTTAGAGTTGCTCCAGCTGTGTTGGTGAGACTTGGACTCAAACCTGTGTCTTGCGTGCCAGCGAATCAAGCACTTCGAGGGCGTCCATGACCTTCAGAAGTCTCAGGCCACCGCAAATTGCATACACGTCCTTTCAAGGTTGAGCTCATTCCCGTGTATGTTCAGTAGAAAGCTGTGGCTGTCAGCGAAAGCCTCGCGCATGCAGCCATACGCAGTCTTCAGCTGGCATGCATGTTGCCCGCCGATAACGGCGTATGGCTGTGCCTGCAATGGCCACTTATCCCCTCGGAGTACTACAGCATGATGCCATCCTGCTTAACATGCTTTCTGTCAGGGCAATGCCTGCGTGCTGAACCCATCGGCTTGTGATGTGATGTCGCGGACCTACATGGCGAGGTGCGGTTTGACCAAAACACAAATCTCTGCGGAAAGCCGAAGGGTCAAACACTGCAGGGTCACCTATAATGGTTAGGGCCCTTCAGCACTGCGACTTTTGGAATAAACCTTCACTTTCCGAGAAAAGAGAGAGACGTGTGCGCCGCGCCAGCTTCCCGCTTTTTGGCCTGCTCTCCTTGGCTATCCTTGCCAACTTCGGGGCCGCTTTCTGCTTGCTTGCAAGCTCAGATTTCGTTGTGATGCCTGTTCAATTTGCTGAGCTGGTACTGAGATATACATGTATATACATATACATATATATGTATAGAAATATATGTATATATATATATATGTATATATGTATACATGTATATCTGTATATATGTATGTATATAGGATTATATGTATACATGTATATACGTATAGCACTTAGACATGAGATGCTGACTTGCCTCACGCATAGTTGGGGGTCTAGCCCCTGAATCCTTTGGACCGACGTACTGCACAGGCACACCTTTAAGTGACGGGTGAAAGGAGATTCAAGATATGGCGCTGAATTAGCCTGCCAGGGTGCTAATGCAGGCGGCCGCCGTACACACTCGTGGCTGAGGTTCTCATACTCCAAAGCTGTGGCAGAATCCTCTCTTCGTGCATGGGCGGGCACCCTCACCGTCGCAGGCCCTGCGCTTGCGTCGGGTGCCCAGTTTCCCAAGCTTAGATTAGGAGATGTGACTGCGAACGGGGGCCCCACGTGGAGCAAACAGCAACCGAGACGCTGGGCAAACTGCCATAAATTCCCAAAGACACAAAGCGGGTGATGTGGACGTGCTTCGGACAGCATAGGCATTTTCAGCAAGACTTGAAGAGGGGCTTCAGTGAAAAGGCAGCGTCAATCCTGCATAATGTTGCATGAGGTTCCACTTGAGAAGGTATGGATTTTGGGTTCCTCGGGCACAGATCAGATCTAACACCCCGAGAAACCGCCGAAACAACAAAGGTGGAGGGATGTGGAGGGTAAGCATGTTTTGGAAGAGCGAAACTGCGGCACGGAGCAGCACCTTCAGACAGGCCGGTGCCAACCCAAAGAGCAAGCACAAGTCCACGATCGCGGTATCTTCTGCACGACCGCTCTTGCGAATGAAATGTTTTCGTTGAATACTGTTCCAGTGCATGGGGAATGCAATCATCAAGGCTTGCGTATAGCGGTTTGACATGGCTTGACACAGTAGAACTCCCATGCAAAACTCTGTCAATTTCGACCCGGAGAGAGTGAGAGCCCTCATGCCCGGCAGAAGAAGAAGAAGAAGAAGAAGAGTAGAGAGACAGAGCAAGACTTGCATGCAAAGAGAGAGAGAGAGAGAAAAAAGAAAAAAAAAAATAGACTGTGCTAAACACAGTTGAAAAGGAGGAGCAACAGAAGAGGAATCGGAAGGGAAAGGGAAAGAGAGGGACAGCAGAAGAGGAAGAAGAAAGACAGACTACAACTCTTGCACCGGGACCTGTTACACGGAAGGACAGAAGGAAGGATGTTTGCGTGAGCGCTGCACAAAAGTAACCACACACACTATCACGCACTCGTGCAATTCTTCTCGTCAACGGTCCGACGACACTTGGGCACCACGAAAGACAATGTTTGTTGTGAAGGCTTTGCTGTTTCAGCATGACTGTGTCCAATTGAAACTTACATCTTGAAACTTGCATGCAGGAACTCTCGGAATCTCTTGGAGAATGCACCGAACAAGAACATGCCCCTGAAAACATACCAGAAAAGCGGACGACTTGCTGGGCGCGTATTCGTTGGAGATTCCGGGCAGAGCTCCGGCCATCTCCCGCCCCCAGCCAGGAAAACTGGAGAACCGAGACGACCTGTGCACGTTTCTCCAACCACACACACGTACACAAACAGCCATGATTCGTGGTTCCTGTT